CAAAGGGACTGCTACAAATCCAACATGTTTTTAAGACAAAATTTGATTGGATGCAAAAACCCCTAACATGCGAAATCTTGGCTTTTTCTGCCAACTGGCGAATTTGCGTTTACATTTCTTCTGCCCCTATCACCGCAAATGACTGGAGAACACGAAGAAAATTGGCAACAGGAAGTCGACACAAGTCACATTTTGTGCGTGGTTTTGTGGAGTTAAATACCGCCTGCTAAATTGCACCAATTTTCACGAATGATACTGACGCATGATTGGCCTATTCACCGTTGCCAAATGCAGATGTCGCTCAATTTACGTGGCTCCAGGGCATTGATGGCAGTTCAACCATGTCATGAACTTCCAAAAGTGCTGTGGACCTTGTGGTTTCAGGTGTCCTGCAAGTTCACCTCATTATTTGACCGACATTTCGTACGGTCGATCAAGTTGTGACAACTGGGAGGAGTTGCCAGTTCAGGTTAAATCCGGATGGTGCTGATGATATTACTGATAACATTGTACAGATCCCTTTCTTACAGGGCACTATCAATGTCTTCATCTTCCACAGATGCAATTGGTTCATATGTTACAGGGCATGTGTATTGTAGCACATCAATGATTTTTAAAGCAATGAATATACTACTGGCAAGATTGTGTAAATTCCTAAATATCATTTATGTTTTGCCACAAGATACGTAATCATCGCAAAGATATTGATAAAGTGCAGCAATTTCATCGATGAAGCTGTCACGATGGTTAGAATGTGCAGCGATGGAAGACTGAATGAGTGACCAATCGGGCGATCCGACGAATCCCTGACTTAGCCACGGGAACCAATGGGATTTGAACACTGACAAAGTGGCCCAATCCTGTCAATGCACCAATCACAACCAAATACATGTCGTGAGGGTCAATGCTACAGGAGAGAGAGAGAGAGATCAAGGAATTATAAAACACGGCATCATCGTCGTCAGGCGTGTTGTATAAATTCCAGAAGTTTCTGTGTCAATCAATTTTGTACTTACCTGCGAAATTATGATGCTTCATAAGACTTTTAGCGCACCAAAGTTTAAAGTGTATTCAACCGTGGCATATCTTCAAAACGATTTCCCTTATTGGCCAAACACTAATCACCAATCAGCTTTAACAATTACAGCCGTGGCACTTTTTTAAAAAAAATCCATAGAATTGCTTTGTAAGGCTAATCGATTAGCACACGTGGAGTTGGTGTTGAATGCAGTCCAGTAACTGGTAAATAACGCTTACAGGAGAGTGATGAGTGATCGAATTGCGGCGGTGAACCAAATGCCGAACACAAGAGTAAAATTCTTGCAAACTCCTGCGAAGTGGACCTCTTTTGAAGTCAGTGCAACGCACTGGAGCGTCGACCGGTAGTCCGGCCTGTGAACAGGACAGTGTATCGTTGTGCGTCTTTTGTTAAAACTCTCACTTCCCAGGCATTTGCGGCTTTGGGTTGGGGGGTGGGGCAGGGGATGAGTTGAGGGGGTAGGCAAGTGGGTACATGGTGTGCCGCGTCTATCAAACTTCACCGCACACCACAATGGCACCGCAAGTCGGTGTGAGCTGAGTCTTCTGCTTCCTCTGAAATTGCTCAGCGTAGGAAGTTGATGAATGTTGCGCAAATGCAGAGTTGCCAACAAGAACAACAACTCGACTTGGACGCAGACTTGAGATGTGTCTAGGAAACACCAATTTTATGGCATGTCATTTCGCAGTTGATGAGGATTTTGGATGGCGCACACTGATTGGTCGCTGCTAACTCGCCACCAAGTTGTTTGAATTAATGACATTCTAAATACTTCCAGCAAACTCGCAGTCACTGTTGCCATGGTTTTGAAAACGGAATGATGTTACATAGTTGATGCGCAACACGTGAAATAGGGCCTTTTTGATGTTGAGGCAAAATTCACTCAAAGTACACGAAATCATGTGCCGGAAATAGGAGAAAACATTTTAGATCGGTAGTGGTGGCCTCATTGACACCACAGTTCAATCCCCAGTTGATAAGACAGGCCCTGTATAGCGAAGCGTTCCCCTTGACCATGACGCACCCATGGAAGCTGGTGGTTGTAACAATTTAAGAACCGTTAATAATTGTTTCATAGAGTAAAAAAAGTACACAAAATGCTTTCATTGACGCTAAATCCCCAATGCAAGTTTCCTCCAATCACAAACCCCCGCCACGTGTCCTTGTGGTGGAGTAGCTTTCATTGGTTCTTTTTGCTTTTTTGAAGACGTAACCACTTTTTATCGATCGAGTTTTCCGTAGTCGGAGACAACAGAAGAGGTGAGTTGGTAGAATCGAAGTGAGTCAGGCACGTGATATTTCTACATGCGCCCTAATAATAACGAAATCTGACTCACTTGTATGTGTGTGGCGACCCCAGTGGATTTGTTTGAACAGGTGTTATTTACAAGATTGTTTAGTTGGAGCTATCGAAAAAATGAATTCACGATCAAACGTTAGTGTGTTCGATGATTTGAAATTGGCTTTCACAATCACATGGCGGCTTTCGTTCGGTGATTTGAATGTTTGTCAAATAAACTGCCTTCACAGTTGTCTGCGATCTTCCATCATTAGTCAGTGGGTCCCGGCATTCCAGTTTATCGATTATTTCCACCCTATGAAGGTACGGATGACAAATCGGAACTAGATTTAAAAGTTTACGTTATCTTTCAAACATGCTAGCGGAGTTTCATTGGGGTAAAATCTGCAAAATTTTATCGATTTTTCTTCAAACTTTTCATCTTGTAGACTAACCAAGTAATCGTTAACGTCTGGCATTTAGGTCAGCGTAATTGTCTTCGTGTTTGACGATGTTGCTTGGTCGGCCGCAGGCTGCGTCCACCCCTCATCTTGCTTGTGGATACAGAAGTGTCAAACATTGCTACTCTCAAACAAATCAATGTTCCATGCACCATCAAGGCATGGACCGCGGTTAAGAACATTCTCGCCTGGATCTGTAATGGACAGTCAGTGATCCCGCATGAGTGACGCTTGCTTACAGAATTATTGATTTCGCGATTGATTGCAGTCTGATTACGTCACCCATTAATTATTCCCCATTCGTCGGAATTTATTGTTGAACCTGGATCCACTGTGCACTCCGTGGTAGAGAAAGACCTCTCAGGATCTCGTTGGCGGATGTTGAAGTATTCACAATTCAATGATCCGTGGAACGTCACTGCGTTAATCGTGCTTCCGACCATTCTCTCATGGATCTGTAGAAGACGGTCAGCGATCACGCGTGAGTAAAGCTTGTCTATAGAATTGTTAGTTTTGATGACTCACCCATATTTTTCATTGGTTTCTGTTCTCAGTCACTTGTTACGCACGCGATCGCTTACTTTCGATAACGAATCATAAACGATATCTTTGGTAGGTGCATCTCCAAATAAATGAATACCACGATTGTACTTGTGGAAGCCCTCAAGTCTGTCCTCGTGGATTTGTGGTGGATTTACCTCTGTTTTGTCAAGCTTTTTAATCGTAGTGGAAGATTCCATTTTGCAGGTGAATTTGTGATATCATCGCCAACAATTGAGCCTCTCAACCGTAGTGGACTACGACACTTCCAGTGTCTATGGTACTACTTTCAGTGGCATTCTGTTGTTCAACAGGTGAATTAGCTCGAAAATCTCGTAGCACTTCAAATTACGGTGCATCAGCGATGACTTCAAACGACTGTAAAAGAAGACTTCTTACTGATTGAAGAAACTGACAAATTTATTCCCTGCACCGCCATTCCGAAGCGTTCTGTCAACGGTCCTTCTGGTTCGTGGATATCACCGATCCATTGCACTTGGTGAAAAGATGAGATTACGAGATTTTGCTTCAGGTCTGTGCACAACTTCACGACAAAAGCATCGTAGCAGGATTTTAAAGGATATGTTGAAGCAAGGGTTCTTAGTGCCGACGTTATGTGTCATGTGAAACGTGCAACTCTTGGTCCAAACGTATTGGAAAAGACGACTTCGATCGTAGTGACAAGTCGCGTCCACCACAACATCCTAAACAGTTTGAAGACGCGAGATTGCAAGCTCACCAGCATGAAGACTCAACGCAAACGCAACAAGAGCTTGCATCAGCTCAGTTAGGACTCACACAAGCCACCTATTTCCAAGCGCATGCACCATCAATTGGCAACAATTCAAACACATGCAAGGCGGAACCCACGTGTGTTGATCACACACAACCACGGTCAACGTGTGAACACATGCCTTTCACTGCTTGCCCACCGACAACAGCAGCAGCAGCAGCAGCAAATTGTGAATGCATTTCGTGTGGATATTGTGACAGGTAGGAAGGAGTTTATCACTTAGGAGAATCCCAAACGTAATAGGGAGAGTCGTGATTAGACGCTGGACTACACAGTGCATCCACTTGAAGAAGCCATCTGTGTCTGTGGTGACACATGAGGGGTAAATGTTTTTTTCAAAGTCGGTTAGGCGTGTGGTCAGACGGTGACCGCGGAAGACTACAGCCGACAATTGAACAATCTGCATGAACAGCGTGATCGTATGCAATAAATTTACATCAAAATTTGTTAAAATAAAATCATTCATCTAAGAATACGGCTAATAAGATGTAAGAATTCACCGAACATTGGTGGTCAAGGCACTTTGGCCACCTTCCCGTAAAATTCAATCAGAGTAGGATGGTAAATCTCTCTATTACTGATATGTTGCACCTCCGACTTACTCAGTCAACGCAGAA